GGGGCGGGAAGAAGGGGGAGAGGGGGGGGGGGGGCGAGGCCCCCCCGCTGAAGCCCCGCGCCGCCCCGCCAGGCCAGGCGGACTCTCAGCGCGGCGGCGCCAGGGACCGCGGGCCCGGCCCGCGCCGGGAGGACCCTCCGCGCCCCGGCGAGAAGTAAGGCTCTGCTTTCTCCTTCTCCCCTCCCTGCGCGACCGGGAGGGTTGGGGTGGCCGCGCGGAGCGGGGCGCAAGCGGCGGCCGGGCAGCTTCTCCGCGCTGCCGCAGCTCCCGGCGCCACTCCGCGGACTCTATTCTATGAGTGCAAAGATGGAGCCTACTTTCTACGAGGATGCCCTGAACGCCAGCTTCGTGCCGCCGGAGAGCGGCGGGTAGGGATATAATAACGCCAAAGTGCTGAAGCAGAACATGACGTTGAACCTGTCCGACCCATCCAGCAACCTGAAGCCGCACCTGAGGAACAAGAACGCCGACATCCTCACCTCCCCCGACGTGGGACTCCTGAAACTGGCCTCGCCTGAACTGGAGCGGCTCATCATCCAGTCTAGCAACGGGTTAATTACCACCACGCCGACCCCGACGCAGTTCCTCTGCCCCAAAAATGTTACCGACGAGCAAGAGGGGTTCGCGGAAGGCTTTGTGAGAGCTCTGGCGGAACTGCACAACCAGAACACCATGCCCAGCGTTACCTCTGCTGCTCAACCTGTTAACAGCGGCATGGCACCTGTGTCCTCTATGGCTGGCAACAGTAGTTTCAATACGAATTTGCACAGCGAGCCCCCGGTGTACGCCAATCTCAGCAACTTCAACCCCAACGCACTCAACTCTGCACCTAACTACAATGCAAACAACATGGGCTATGCACCTCAGCATCACATAAACCCCCAGATGCCCGTGCAGCATCCCAGGCTTCAGGCTTTGAAAGAAGAGCCTCAGACTGTACCTGAAATGCCAGGGGAAACTCCTCCCCTGTCCCCTATTGACATGGAGTCACAGGAGAGAATCAAAGCCGAAAGAAAACGCATGAGAAACAGAATTGCGGCATCCAAATGCCGGAAAAGGAAGTTGGAAAGGATTGCCAGGTTGGAAGAAAAAGTGAAAACTTTGAAAGCCCAGAACTCAGAGCTGGCATCCACTGCCAACATGCTCAGAGAACAGGTTGCACAGCTTAAGCAGAAGGTCATGAACCATGTCAACAGCGGGTGCCAGCTAATGCTAACACAACAGTTGCAAACGTTTTGAAGAGACTGTCTTAAATGAGAACTGTGATATTGTGGTATAACTAAAACAAAAAACCAAAAGTGGCAGATGCATAAAGCTAATGGTAAAAGCTGAAAGGCTGAGTCCTGCCTGTGCTCTGCAAAGCGCATGTGTGGAAAGACTGGCAAGCCTTCAGCTTGAGTTAGTAGCGAAGCGGCCAGCACAACTCCGAGAAGTGCTGTTCCTGCTCAGATGAGACATCAGATCTTTGTTTAACATTGACCAAGACCTGCATGGACCTAACATTCGATGATCATTCAGTATTAAAGGTTAAACTGCAATAGAAACTGTAGATTGCTTTATGTAGTATTCCTTAAGAAAAAAAAAGTGGGAGGGAGGTTTGTGGGAGGCTGATAAACAAAAAAGAACTATTCTGCCTGCCTTCAAGTAAATTGTGTATGTATATATCTTTTTTATTTTATTTTATGAAAGTTGATTAATGTCAATAAACTACTTCATGACTTTGTAAGTTATTTTTATGTTGTTTATTTGGGCACTGCCCAGTATTGTTTGTAAATAAGAGGCTTTTTTTTAGCACTCTGAGTTTACCATTTGTAATAAAGTATAATTTTTTAATGTTTCTGTTTCTGGAAAAATTCTAGAAGGTTCTATTATATTTAAGAAAAATAAAATAATTAAAATGCATTTCCCCCTCACACTTTTTTTTTTGCTAGTACCTGAGTTGGGAAAATGCCCTTTATGCCGAACTCTAAAGGGTAGGGATTATGTTAAACTCACTGTAACTACAGGCATGTCCTGGAGAATGTGTGCGGAGGAGAGGGAGAAACTAGATCCTGATCACTAAACGAATACAACTTTTTAAGTTGTCCTGAAGTTGTAGTTCCCAGTTGTAACCTGACTAGCTTGCCTGCCATGTTCTAGTGGCCCAGTTTAGACAGCTAATTTCAAGCAGGTTGTATAGGGGTAGAAAGCCAGTGTATGAAATTGCTCCATAACTGGAGTAACTGGCTACTTGATCTGACATGCTTTTTATTAAATTAACGCCCTCAAGAAGATAAGACAAGCAGTCGTATTTAAAAAAAAAAAAAAGCTGTAGGCTTCAAAAATAGAAATACTCACCTTTATTCCTGTTTTCCTTCCTAGGTAGGAGGTGATCCTTGTTTGTTAATATTTATGACAATGCTGCTGTCAACAGTAAAATAATTTTATAACACTTTTCCTATCTTGAAATCCTTTCCCTTTTGGGTGTTACTATGGGTTCTAAACTTTTTAGCAATAGAAGAGCTGGGAAAACAACCTAGTGGGAAATGAAGAGAGCAACTTGCTGAAAAACAGCAACTCCTGTTGCTTGTTTTCAGCAACTTACTGAAAATAGCAACTTCTCTAGCGCTTCCCATTTATTTTCTATAAAATAATCTTGGTTTTTAGTACAATGACAATATATACCATAGAAACATGCTACTTAACTCATTGGGGGTGGGGGGGAAACAATTACTATACCAGGATTTTCAACGCTGTACCAAATTAGTTTAATAAGCATATATCTAAAGGGAGACCAGATGTTTTCCTGCTTGCTGTCTAGAGCCAAACAGCTAAGAGGAAATAGATGCTATCAAAAGACGGCCAGAAAATATTAGAAATTCATTATTAGTGAATGCTAACTTTTTAAAGCAGGTAGTCTTAAAAATGTATTTTTTCCTTAAAATAGGAATAAGCATAATTTTAATTGAAGTGACAATCTTGTTTAAGGTCGCTTCACAAGATGACTAGATAATTGGATATATATACCTTTACTGTTACCAAAATGATACCCTGAAGCTTGCAACTAATGTGGGTCGGTTCCTTACAGGAAGCACAGAAGTATCTTTCCTCTTAAGTTTCCCCCCCCCCCCATATTATATGCACTTTATCATATGAGGGGTTGTTTTAATGTTTAAAATACGATAATATGGTAATCTCCTTCCACATAGGAATCCAAGTGTCAAGGTAGGCACTGTTTAGATGGTGTTTGCTGCTGTCAGAGGAATACAATTGTAATAACACCAACCAAACAAAGGGTTACTAGGAGGATACTGTAGTTTGCCAAGAGTACATTTTGCTGATGTCAGCAACCCGGAAGGTAAGTTGATTTTGACCATATGTAGGAATAGACAGCAGAGGGATAATACACAGCACTGCTGGGTGTGGTTTTACAGGGATTTAGCAAGTGCCAACTAGCAAAATAAGCAGGGCAAGGAGATTAATTACCTGCAAAGGTGCATGTTTAACTCTCAACAGTGCTGGGTTATGGAATAGATGTTACTAGCAAGCATTTGCTTAATCGCCTAATTACGTAAAAAATAAATACATTATATAAAATACTATGTTAATTAAATACAGCTGAGTGACAGTCTGCTCCACCCTATCCTAATACGCACACACAGACATTTAGCATTGCAGTTATGTGTTTTCTCTCTCAAGTACGACATTCTGTAGCACAGGCAAAAAAGTTACTGAGTAATAGCACTGCTCGTTAAGTGGGCATCATCTGACGGGTTGGTTCCTGTGACATGAGTTACTTGACTTGGTCCAGCTCAGGAGGTACTGGTGTCCAGTCAGAGAACCTACTGTCAAGCAAGGTGGTTTTTAGTGCCAGTTACACAGTTTCACAAGGAGAAGAGGGGCGACTTAGATGAACCCTTTCTTTGGTCCCACATCTCATTTGAGGATCAGGCCTAAGACAGGGCAAAGTAAGTTTATATTCCCTCCACCTCCATCTGTTTTGTAAACAGTGTGGTGGGCTATGAGCCTGTTGCTATCTATCTATCTATCTGGTTCACTTCAGCATAGATTAAAATTCAGCACTATTAGTATATTACTAGATCACTTGGTGATCAATAAGTACAACTGTAATGAAAGATGTGTGTGCATTTGTATGTGGTGAAATACAGAGTTTTAACACTTACTTAACTGCCGAGATCAAAATTGCCTAATGCACTATGTGCCTTACTTCTATAAGGAATAGTCAGTTCTCTTTGAGATTCAGAGAGAAACTCTCTTTTTGTTGCCCCAGCTGTACTCACAGGGGAATATTTTGCAAATAACAGCATTGTGAACATGTATTTTGTTTGGCTGTGAGTGTTGTCAACGGATTCAGGAAGTGAAGTCAGAAAAAGGCAGGGTTTCAAACAGGGCAGGCTACACAGAAATGCCTAGGCAAAGAGCCTCTAATCAGAACAACATGTTTGAGAGAAATATTAATTAGAATTTGGGTCTGTACTAAAACCAACAAAACCCTCACAATTCTATCCCATGAACAGAAGTGAGCTACAAGAGGGGTTTGACCATGATTACTCACTGAATAATCTTAAGTCCAAAGTACTTATCATTACAGAAATAACAGTAACAATCTAACTTACTCTACAGTGGGAAAGAGTTACATACCAGCCAGTTTCAATCTCAGAACACAGTAGCAGTTACTAATAGAGTCCTCATCCTTGAATTGCCTATGTCTCCGTAGGTCTAAAAAATACTGACCTCAAAACATGGCACTTCTTTAAATACCAGTCTAAGGTAGCACATACGCATTTAACAATGAAGTCTAGCAGCAAGAGATGTCTTAGCTATCTTTCCATTTTGTAGGAAGCAGTCAAGAAATACAGACAATATCCCTCCAAACCTATGTGAAAAATGACTGTTTTGTCCCATGCAGAAGCCTAAGAAATCCATTACAATAATTACTTTCTGAAAAAGTAAATAGGCCTTTCAATGAAGTACATTGCTGCACATGCATTAATGATATTATCCCCACAACTCCGCAGGAAGCAAAGAATCTAACTTACAGACACCCAGGTTACTGTACGGCAAGCTTACATCATTTAGCTAGTATCACACAGCACGCATGAACACTGCACAGTGGAGTGCGGAGCCTGAACCAGTGGCGAAACTGGAAGTTATACAGCTGGATCAGCACAGTGCTCTGCCTGAGTGAATAACCCTGACCGAGGCTCTGGGGTTATTAGCCTGGGCAACGTTACTGAATAGATTGCAGAGGCAGATGGACCAGCTCAGGCTGGAACAAGCTTGGGCATCTGTGGAGTACACCACGGAGTGCGGTGCACCATGCCCATAAGAAGTACAAGGCAGAACTGAAAAAAAAAGAACATTTATCTTTAATATCAAGCCTAGTGCTTTCTCTGTTCTGCGGCTCTTCCTCTCTACCCCTATTCCCAAACCTAGGTATAACAGCGTAGAGTTACCCACATCAAGAAACTAAAACCAGTTCAGGCAAAGTTTGCTGTGTAGAAAAAAAAGTTGCAAACATCATAAGCGAACACAAAATATGGCTAACAGGCAGATGGACAGCAAGGAAATATTTGAAATTACCATATACACAAACCCATTATGAAACAGAATATACCTTAGTAACCTCTAGCATTAGCTTAGGGACAGGGAGAAGGAAGGTAGTATTAGCCTTCCAACTAAAGAAAAGGAAAATTCAAAATGTAGGTGGTTTGCTTTTTGACAAGGTAATTCTTCCAGAGAAGTGCTTGTTCTTCAGAATTACACGCACTGCCAACACCAGTGTCTGCACCCAAGGACTGGTGACAATCCTAATTCTACACATATACGTTATTGTTGACATGAACATTGTAATACATTCTCTGAACAGAGAATGGTGCTTCTTACAAAGAAAACTTGTAGAAAGTCATCATATAACTTACCGTGAAAGCCTCTGATTACTTAAACAGTTTTAGAGTGGTTTTGCACAGCAGGGCCCTCTTTTCCAATTTTGCACATTATTCTTTGCAGTACATTTTTGTTAAGGAACAATGGAACTACAAAAATCAAATTAGACGTTCATCACGGTCCCTTCTGTCCTTAAATATTCTGAAATACTAGAAACACAGTTACAATGGGGAAGAATGGCTTTTTAAAAAGTTAATTAAATATTGAAAACACTGCTAATTTTCTTAGTTATAGAGTAACAACAGACATTAGGGGAAAACAAAACAAAAATCTAATTCAGAAAAATGAGTAAAGTGAGTAACCTATTTTTGAAATCTCATACAGAACTTGATAGGTTATGACTGACATGATTAATCCAAATCTCTATAAAATACCTAGAAACTAACTCTGTAAACAAAGTGGAGGAAGACCTAATATTTCTTTTCCTCAGTCTCACAATTATTTTGTGTTTTGAGCCTTGTATTCTCCAAGCAGTCTTTAGGTTGATTCCTTAAACAAAAGGACCAGCGACTTGCTAGAGATTCCTCTGAACTGTGAACTTTGTTCCTTATTCTCTTTTAAATTAAAACCAATTCCTGTGAAACCTGGCAGCATAACAACACCAAAGATGTGGGAAACAGGACACAATTCCAGCAGATGGAGCTCAAAAGCAAACAGCCCTGGAACAAGCTGCACAGATGCCTGCAACAGGAGCCTTTGCTCAGATGGTGTAGTAGCCAGAAAAGTCTTCAGATGAAACCCGCTATCATGCAAACGTACTAAAAAAAGATTAATTTTAACAGCTTCACTGAATTCTTAAAATAATCACTGCAATGAGTAGGGAGATCCTGCGTCATTTTAATCATAGAATAACCACAGTTATTTCAGAGGACACTATGGGTTCAAAACTGAGCATCCATGGCTATGTTTCCAAATTCTCATCCACGATGATGAATTAGTGGGCATGACTTTTAG